TGGACTATGAAAAACTGTATATTCACTATGAGAATCAGTGTCCACTCTATATCTCAATCTGGAAAGTCTTCCTGGAGGAAATGAAAGCAGGAAACTCAAAGGGGTATGTCATCAGCCTTGGAAATGGGAGTTGTTTTCTGCCCTTGGAGTCTAACAGAAGGCAAGACTTTACACATGACAGCAAAGAGATTAGAATGAGAAAGAGAAGGGGCAGGGAGGGGGTGCAAATCCGATTCTTTCATACTCCATCTGAAAAGAATTACTAATGATTCCATTCTGGAAAATCATCTGTCCAGCATATTTTGGTGATGTGCAGAAAAGTGGCAGAAGTTTAGGAAAATAGGATTCTAAACCAAAGTCGCAGAGTTATTGAATAGGCTAAAAAACCAGGCAATTTAGCAATTCTCAACCAAAAAGTAGCAGCAAGACAGCCAATAGTCTAAAACAAAAAGGACAAGGTATTTAATTTAAGAATATTTATTGAGTACCTGCTATGCTCCCAGCATGGTGCCAATTACAGAAAATTCAAAAACAGATTCTGTCCTGCAGCCCAGGCAGCAGAAACCTAAGACATCTTCACAAAATAAGGCCAATCCTGGTATGTTTTTTGAAGGTACATTTACCTAAATACCACTATCGCTTAGTTACCATCCCTTTACAGATACTAAAATTCCCAACCTCCTCCTCTCCCCCCAAAATAAAACATTTAAAAATGCAAACATTTATCCATTTATTCACTCATTAAATAATCATTTCTGTATAAACCTAATATGAAAAACAACCTTGAAAAAGAAGTATAGAGGACTCATGCTTCCCAATTTCAAAACTTACTACAAAGCTACAGTCATCAAGACTATGTGATACTGGCATAAAGTAGATCAATGGAATAGAATTGAGAGTCCAAAAATTTACCCATATGTTTATAGTCTATTGACTTCGACAGGGTGCTGAGACAATTCAGTGGGGTCAAGAAAAGTTTTTTCAACAAATGCTACTGGGGCAACTATATATCTGCATACAGAAGAACGAGGTGGACCCCCACTCATAACATATGCAAAAACTAACTCCAAATAAATCAAATATAAGAGCTAAAACTATCAAATCCTTAGAAGAAATTAGAGGCAGAAATCTCAGTGCCCATGGATTAGGCAATGATTTCTTAGCTGTGACAAAAGAAAAAAAATAGATAAGGTAGATTTGCCTAGAACTGAAATCTTTGTGCTTCAAAGGACACCATAAAGTGAAAAGACAAACTGAAGAATGAGAGGCTATATTTAAAAATGATATATCTGTTCAGGGACTTTGAAATATATAAAGAAATCTTGCAATTAAACAATAAAAAGACAACTCAACTTGTAAAATGCACAAATAATTTGAATTGACACTTCTCCAAAGAAGATATACAAATAGCCGATAAGCACGTGAAAAGATATTCAACATCTTTAGTCATTAGGGAAGTGCAAATCAAAATTCACAGTGAGACACACTTCACACCCAATAGAATGGCTATAATAAAAAAGACACACACTAGCAAG